TACAAATTGCATACAGCCTCAATCCTGCAAAATCCTCCGTTATTTCTTGAATGTGGTCCTTGGAGGGGTGACCACTGCCTCAATCCTGCAAAATCCTCCAACAATCACTGTTAATGTTAAGGCAGAGCCAGTGACATGTTGGAGCAGTGCGGAGGATTTCAAGCATAATCTAGGCCTAAATGTGTGCACGCCTGAGCATTTAAACAACATAAGGTCCGGCCTAAGACCTTGACACAGTGCATCCTCCAAAATCAGCCACCATTTTTGCCATATCCTCAATCCTACAAAATCCGCAATTTTGCAAAGAGGATTTTGCATGATTTGGGAAGGTTAGGGTTAAAGATAACCATCCCAAATCTATCCCCGAAAAAAATTAATTGCATTTATCATCCAAAACGAAAGTTCCTATCTTCCGAACAAGCTGTAGACCCCTCCAAAAAAATCCTTTGCGGTTTGGTGATGACTTGCATGTGTCTGGGAAGGAAAAGTGAATCACAAGTCGGATGCTCGTGGTATGGGAAACCGATTTATAAAGAATATTCTATTTTTGAACTAGGATGAAGCGATCCAGTGTGCAGATACGTGTTTAACCATGGTTCAACTTCAACCCAATACGTCAGATCCCCCCCCCCCCCCTAAAAACGTTGATCCACCACAGGTGACTCAGATATTTCTGATCAAAGATGGTCACGTACCACGGCCCACTTTCGTGGCACTGCTTTGCTAAGCACCTAATTTTCTGCTTACAGAGCCTTTGTCTTTTTCATGGAGACTGTTGGCAGTAAGCACAGCAAAATGAGCAATACCTCAGAGGAAAAGTTATTTGTTCAGTAACGTTACAACAGATATCTCCATGCGTGCGCAACCAATAGCATATCCACGCTATGAAATAGTGCTTAAGGTTAGCACAAGTTTCTGCTATAGTAAGCACAACTTTTTATTAACTGTAAAGCAGCGCCATGAACTTGGCCCCAGGTGCTGTTCTGAATGGAAATTTAAGGGGGTAGGTAAAGCGGGAACATAATTCTTAACCCTAACCCTGCTGAATCCAACAGGATCCAACTATGTCACATACCCGATGGAGCCTGTTGGATTGAGCAGTTAACCCCTTGTGTACATTCCTCATGCAAAATGTTGGATCCAGCAGGCAACTGATCCGCATTATAACGCATTGTTGGACTCCATTGGATTCAGCAGACAACTGAAAATGAGGCACAGTGGATTGAACAGGAAAGTCCGGTTAGACTGAGCTGTTTGATTTAGCAGGGTAGTCCTGAGGAAGTTAATGGGGAAAATTACTTATTTTACAGCCCCAATGTTTAGTAAATCTTACCTTGGGGGAGAGAGAATTTGAAAACTATATGACAACAAATTGTTACCAACTTCTTAGCATGTATCTCAATTACACATTTGACAGACTTGGTAGTAAGTACACTTACACTGTACAGTACAGTGTGCATGCGGACCTACACGTTTTGAACCAGCAACCAGTGCCTAAATTTATAGGCCAGTTCAGCGACTGGAAACGTCTAAAGACCACACTTCCTGTTGTTGGATCACGCTCTTGATAAGCATACCCTGTGATTCATTTCCCTGTGTGCCCATCGTCCCCCCCCCCCTTCCCCAATGCCCCTTCTCTGTTACCCCTCTCCCGCTGTATCTAAGATATATGACTCACAGACGACGAGACCAAGAATACTCTAGGCCAACTATGAAACACATGACAAATGTTCATAGGGAGTTGTACACATGTGAGAACATGACGACAATCAGGGGCAAAGTACGTTAAAAATGTATTTATAGAACTTAGCTAGAGTGGGGCTTGAACCTGCAACCTCCGGATTACTGCTTCCGTGCTCTACCAACTGAGCTGCTTGTACATTATCCAGCCCTACAATGTATGTTGTTGGTTCCCTATTTTGTCAATGTCTTTTTTGGGGGGAGAAGCCCTATTCAGAAGCCATCACCCCTATATGCGATGTAGCCAGGGATCAGGCCCAAACTCACGATGCTAGCAACATTAGCGATGCTGTAAACCTGGGAGACAGCAAACGGGGATCTCTCAGAGCGGATACGGCTTTTTATTAGAAACAAATTTAAATTAAAACCACAAATGAGAAATGACTAGGTGCATTACATGTACATACTATGTACATATTAAAATTGACACTGAGTATGTGTGCATACTTTTGAACTCACAAGCAAGGTCTATGGTGTCCAAAATACACCAGGAATACACCGCTCAAGCTTTGAAGCAAATTACAATGTGTTGGAACACATATGGTCACAATCAAGGTCAAGGTTTACGGTGTTGACAATACACTGAGAATACACCAAGCACAATGTACATAGAGAGGAGTGTGTATACATGTACATTGCTAGCCTCATTCATGTACACCATAGGCAAGGTCTCTGGTTTTCAGAAAATATTTTTACACTAAGAACACTCAAGCTACTTTTTGAGGGAGGGGAGGGGTGGAGATGGGGACGGGGGATCTAATTATTAATATTTTGGGGGGTGGAGGGGGGAAGGGAGGAGGCCTTATCCACTACGACATTTCTCAGAATAGTGCCCGAGTCGATTCGGAAATAATATAAATGTATCCACAATACAAACCAAACAGAAGCAATAATACCAAATGGGCCTGATATTTTGATCCGTGTATTGTTAGGCCCTCTCACATTTACAATTTGTACAGATCTATAATGCAGGTCACTTCACTCAGAAAGCATGTTGTATTGTGTACATGGTAAACAATTTGTACTGTGTACTACGCTCAACATTAGGAAAGATTTCCATATACGAAGTTCACTCAACACCCTGTGTACAAACCCTATGAGATTGGACGGAAAAATTCTACGTGTTTTCTAAGAAAATGCTTGTATTTTCTCACTGCTCAAATTGACTTTGATGACATGAAATTGCTATCTGGGGGCTTGTTAGTCAATACAGAGGAAAATTAGTGAACTTCGTATATATGGAAATTTTCCTTATGTTGACATACGAACTTTTTTCCGGTCTTCTGATTATTTTTATTGTAATACATACAGTTTTTACCTCTGTCTATTTTTAAAATGTTTTCCAATGTAAACCTGCCCACAATTCAGCCTTCGGGCTGCGACGGGAGAGTAAAATAAACCATTTAATAATAATAATACGTGTACAAGTACCGGTACGTCTCTGTCTCTGAACTTAAATATTCAAGCAACGTGAAATTTAGAATTTTTCACACAAAAAATAGGCCAAAGCTCTTGGGTGCTAGTAACCTTGACACAGTGAGGTCATGCACTCTCAATGTGTGGTCTAAGTGGCTGTAAGGGAGCACAATGGCAGTACACACTCAGTCAGGGATTTTGTTGTGATTGTGAAATGCGTAGGCCCTGCCTTAGGGGTTGCAGTCTGAATGCTGTGCTCAGGACAAACACTGGTAGTGCTGAGAGTCCAGACACTTGGGAAAACAGGGGCTGGTCGGAATAATAACATTTTTGTTCGATTTGTTTTAAGAAAACCAAGGAGTTTTGATAGGAAAAGGAGGTTGCAATGGGAATTTGATACCTTTTTTTTTTAAGATACAAGACTGCCTGTACTGTATTTAATCTCTGGAGATTTCTCTAAGAACCAAACCATGCATGATGAAACATTGACAATTGTTGACCTTAATATTTACAAAACAGTTCAGGACTGAGTATGAAGTTGAACAACTTTTCCGTGACATGCATACATGTAGATCAAAGTTGGCTAGCGATCATGAAATTTGTTTGATGTGAAAATAATCCTTAATTATGGCTGCATAAAAAAACATTTTTGTCTCTTCCTGAAATCCTCGAAAATTTAGTTGTTTAAAAGTTGTCTGAACCACTTATTATTAGTTGATTCTTATTTTAAAAATATTCTTTTAAGAATTTCAATGGCAACATTTCATAATCAAAGATAGTCACATAAAGCCGGTCTTTTTGATATATTATATATATATTTTTAAAAACATGTTTGGAAAAAATGTTGCAACCTGATGCCACTTTTTTCTTCATGTATCATCTCAATTAAGGTCATTTATTGCAAAAATGATAAGACATGAATCTGGGACTGAGAAACTTTTCCAATTTTGTTAGGAAATACTTATAAAATCTTCTTGACTCTCCATAGACTTTGTACACAATCGCCGAAGTGGTGTCAAGTTGCAACATATTTTCCACATGTTTAAAGCAAACAGCATGAACAAATTTATAAATATAAAAGGTGGTGGACTTTTTCAGAATGTGGACTGTTAAAGCTTGATGATATAAATTCAAAACAGATAAAAATGTAAAACTAAAAGGAAGCCTAGCTAGGTATGACAAGTTACGAAGGTTCATATTTATACCGTCAACCGGTCCCGCATTTTTGCCGTGCCAGTAATTGCACTAAAATAATGGGGACCGGTCAAACATTCACTGCCCCTGCCCACACTGCCTAAATTAAAGAATCATCTTTGCAAATTTCTCAAAATGCTTAATACCCAAACTTCCACGGTGCAGTATATCACGCATTTTAATTAATACTTGACATACAAAAAGACGTGTAGAAAGAGTTGTTGCATCCTGGTGCCACTTTTTTCATAAAGGTCAGTCACAAAAATGTGGGAAAGATGATAAATCTGAGAGTGAGAAATGTTTTTTTTTCCAATTTTGTTAACAATTTTTTTTTTTTTTAATTTACAAATACTGCAACTCTCCATAGACTTTATACGCAACCAAAGAAGTAGCATCTGGATACAACATTCTTTCCAGACTAACATCACGACGACTTTAAAACATCAGTTCTATAAAATCCCTTCAGCACTGTGCAGTTCAATGCAACAAGTTAGGGATGGCATTGGCAGATCACAATGTTGCTTGTGTTGCACACCCATTCAACAGTGCACGAATTAAACTGTGGTACACTCAACAACTCAACTTGACGTCCAAAGAAATTACCCCACAAACCCCACACTGCAAAACAGACAAGCGCAGAATATACGTACCTGTTTCTCAGCTGTGTTTAAGACCACTATATATCCAAGTGAGAAGTGACTGACTCGAACAGAAAGCGAGAAAACGGCTTATAAAAATCCCTTTCGATCGACAAAGTTGTTCCAGTGATTTGACATGATGATTGTGGGCACTGGTTTCCAAATTAATGAATCGTTTGCTGAATGCAGAGTTAAATGGAAAGCCGAGGACCAGTGAAAATGACAAAGTATGGGGCACTGTACATGACACTCTCCCACTGCTAAAAATTAAAATGCTGCATGTGTAAAAAAAAAAACAGCTATAAAAGAAAACTGCACATTATACTTTCTCGAAATGAAAATTGTCTTAAACCCACGCGTAAACACAGGTAACTGATCCTATCACCCAGTTATTTATGGAGGAAATAGATAAACCATACTAATAAATTGAGTACAGGGTTGGAAATTAGAAGCTGTCGAAAGAGGGCGCCCTGATCATTTAAACGGCGGGGAAAAGTTGCAAATTGAGGGCGCTATATAAGTAAGCCAGTGTTGATCAAAATTTCTTCTTTTCTAATAAAAAAAAATAGTTAATACATTAAAATGAAGGGAATTAAAATTTATTACTGAATGAATATAAATCTTCACTAATCCTTTTCTTTAAGCTTTCTATCTAAATGTTTAGTTACAATTGAACGGTTTGGGGGTTTAGATGCAGGCCATAGAGCTGTATAATAAGCTCTATGATGCAGGCCTAACTGTTTACTTTGATTTTTTTTTTTAGAGTATTCTTTTTAATTTGTCAATCACACATTCGAAAAAGAGAATACAACTAATTCGGGTCTTGTGAAAATAAATTTGTAAGAAAAGCAAAGGTCATGGGGAAAGCTGTGTCCGGTTTTAATTTGTAACTCATTCAGTAGCGCGCGTAGCGCGGACCTTGAAATGTAAACATCAAAGGCTCGCCGACATAAACATAAATAAGTAGGTCACCTGACTGACACACACCGCGGTAGAATGATATCTGGCGCGATCATGTGATGGTGCTCTACCATTGTTGATTGGCTGAAAGTCATGGCCTCATGATATACGCAGGCGCAGTTCAACCGTGACCTCTTTCGACGTGACCTTACTACGTACGTGTGTGTTGAAAACAGCCGATCCGGCATATTTATGTGGCGAGAAGCAGCAGAATTTTCCAGTATTTGTGTGTGATCTTGGAGTACGAAGTCTCGATCTGGAGTATCACGTTTATGGTAAGTGATGTACAGAAGCATGTGTTATTTTAAGGCCGAGAAAGAGTTGCATTACTGGGTTTTCTTCATAACGGTTTCATTCACGAAGACGATAGGCCTGCTCACTGACACTGCAGTGCACTGCCAGTGCCACTGCAGTCACTTGCACCATGGAGCTGTAAAAAGCAGTGCAGCACTTACTGTTTCGCTAGTCCTACCATGCCGAATGCCTACCCTACCATCAAAATTAACCCGACTGAACCGTTTATTTTCTGAGTGACAGCCAGTGACTATCAATGGTTATATGTGGCATGTATGTCACTCAAAGCATGATCATCAATGGGACATTTCTATTGCTTGTTGAATTAAATACAAAATCATTTGTCAATCATGTTGCATTGTTGGTGTAGCAACAAAGGATGAACGATCCCATGAATCCTGCAAAATGTTCCACTTTTGTGGTGTTCGTGTATGACTATGAGCAAACAATGTTGTTAAGCATGTTTTTGTTAAGCATTATGTGATGCGATCAAGCTAAATGAGTCGTTTGTCGGGAACTTTCATTTGGAGATACTGGCCAAAATAATTATAAAGCCACTTCATTCTTGGTGTTCAGACTTTCATAAGTTTTGAACTAAAGATGGTATCAGCATGCGGTTTTCACAGCAGTAATGCTGAGATTGTGCTCTTTTCAAATCTGTAAAAAAAAAATGACCAGGGTCGACAAACGACTCATTTAGCTTGATCGCATCACATATACTGACTCCCCATTGTATGCGACCCCGCGTGCCAGCCAATGGGAGTTGGCTTTAAAAAATTGTGAGGTCACTTGGATCAGAAATGTGGACTAAGCTGTTGATTGGTCAAATTGGCTGACATGTTTTTGGAATACAATAACAGGTTATGGAAGACCCGATAGAACTTAAGAAGGCGCCTGCTGAATGGTCAGAATCTCGAGGTCAAGACACAGTCTTGTTTTGCATAATCGATCACCGAATCTGCTCGCATATCATAGACCCTTGCTGTGCAAGGGGATATTCCATAGACTAATGTGATGTAACCATATCTGGAGAAATTCTCTGAAAAACTGTGATAGATATTTCACTTGTTGATCCTTCAAAATCTGCCTACGGGATATTAAAATGTTTGCAGGATGAATACATACACCGTCAGAAAGTACAGCCCATCCCCACAGGGATGATTTGCAAAGATTTATGATATGAGTACCCATCCAAAATTGGAGGGATGTAGAATTAGGGTGTATAAACTTTGCCAATCCAAATGTTGAATGTACATGATGACTTTGACTCTTTACATGACCCATGAAACATTTCTGAGTTTGCATTTTTTTTATCGCGAATTTGATATTAATCATTCACTGTATAACGTTCAAAGTTTAGAGCTGTAGGCCATGACCTTTGGGAAGTGTGTGAACTGTTGACAGTTGATGCTTGTTGAAACTTTGTCCCGAGATAAGGCATTCAAGTATCAGGTTGAGGGTAACGATAAAGTTTGCCGTATGATTGTGCATCATCATTGATACTGATGAAAAGATCATGCATGATCTTGCAGAAATGTATTTTTCAAACACTTTGCAGTTTTATGTAAAACCTGTTGTGATCGTTATGCCACCCTTACCCTTTGGAATTTACTCTTACCCTTGATCGATTGCTTTTCTTCGGATTGTACATATTGCTACAACAGTGATAATATGATTTATCTTCAAGCAAACTTGAATCCTCGATTCTGATTGGTTGATCCATGGCAACAACTGTGTGATGTTATACCCAATCGCGTGGTCCGTATCGCACTCTGCGTATTGCGCTTTTCCAAGATGTGCGCGCTATAACCGCTGGAAAAGTTGTGTACCGCGTGCTATAACCGCTGGAAAGCTTGTGTACTGCGTGCTTGTTCCATCTTTACTGCACGTCAAGTTTGCTTGAAGATAAATTCGTTATCCTACTCGCACCCGTGGAACTCGGAAAATGTAGTGTGTCTTGCATTCCACATACCACTCAGCCTTCGGCCTAGTGTGCCGCTGTGCCATCAGAAGAAGCGGATGTAATATAAAAACCTTTACGGGTCTACCATATCACAGTTCATTTGTGATTTGATTTGGGACGAGATTACTTATCCCTAAGTCTTTTTGCTAGCCTCAATCCTGCAAAATCCTCCAATTGGCCTCACGGAAAAATAGCACAGCCTCAACCCTACAAATTCCTCCATTATTTCTTGAATATGGTTCGTGGAGGGGCGACTACTGCCTGAATCCTGCAAAATCTTGCAGCAGTGGCTGTCAGTATCTTTAGGCTTGGTCACTGACATCCTGGAGCAGTACAGAGGATTTCAAGCATAGTCCAGGCCTATATTTATGCAAGGCTGAGCAAAAAACAACAACAAAAGGTCCGGCCCAAGACCTTGACAAAGTGCATCCTACAAAATCAGTAACACACTTTGGCCGTGTAACCTCAATCCTCCAAATTCCTCCACTTTGGCAAAGAGGATTTTGAAGGATTCAGGGCGGTTAGGGTTGATTGCTGCATGGTCTGGGGATTGTTTTTTGATTGACTTGTGAGAAGTTGACTACATGGGTGGCATTCTGCTGTGTGGTGGCATTGGGATGTACAAGTTTTGGAGCTATGCCAATTTCAACAACTCAAATGTGTCAACAGGACGTTTGTGTCATCCTCATTCCCACATGCAAACCAGTCCTTTACAGTGTGCACAGCGAGTGTGATGAATTGGGATCAAGGTTGCGGATTGTTTGTAAGGCTCGGCCAAAGTTCATTCACACGTCCCTCTTAAAAATCACTGCGACACTGCATAGCTTAACTTTGACCTCTTTGTGCGTCAACGATAAAACAAAAAATGATAACGGCAAAAATATTGACATGCTTCTCTGTAGACTTTGTCCTTTGTTCAGCCCTGACAATTGTCTTATTGATATTTTTTCCGGAGATACGTAATCAGTGTTTTTTGCTTAGTTGTGTCAGAGAACTTTTAAATTGAAATGTGTTTTGGTAAAGTTTCTTCCCTTTGAGTTAGTGTTGGGCTAGTGTTGGCACAGTAACCTTTCTAAATTGTTTACGTGTAGGTCGATCGCATGTGTAGTCATTGTGGTATCTTATCCCATCTTGGTTGTCATCTACGTGTAATCCGAGGGGAAAAAAATGGAAAATGTCATTTGAATGGAAGTTGTATATTGTTCATGGTTGGATTTTTTTACTTGTTATTTTAATCACACTCTATTCTGCTTTCTTGTTTTATCTTGACTACAGTGATGTTGAAGCAGCCGAGGTTCATGTACTTGCAAATGATGCGTTGCTACGGAGATCTACACATCTGCATGTGCAACATGAACAGACCGGACCACGGGTGGCGACATCAAACACGTTCTGCCGCGGATCTATGATCTGTTGACTCCAAGCTTAACAAATTACATGTAGCTGTTGAACTGTACTGCATCGTAAAAAAAAGTGCTTTCATTCAAAGGATCAACGTTAGTGGGCGTTATTCTTTGAACAAAACTTTCATCAAGCCACGAAAAGTGTCAATCACCAAATCTGTTGATAGTACAGAGCTAAGTTTAATTTAAATTTGGACTCACAAAATCACGCATTCAGTCGTTGAACTACAGTGCAGCTTAATATAGGAACTTGCTTTTCTGCATTCATTACGTGCAGTTGTCAGTAATCTTTGGAAGCAGAAGCTTTTTTATAGTACTCAACTTTGTCGGAACTTTCTTCGTGGAGAAGTTGTCGACATGTATGCCAAAATGTCAAACAGAATCATCAGCACGGTGCGGAGGTCCGTGGTGCTGTACTTGATAGGCGTGTGCCTGGCGCTCATTCTACACTTGCTTCAGATCCAGCGCAACGTCACGCTGTTCCCCGTCGAAGTGATCGGGAGCCTGATGAAGTCGGATTGGTGGGTGCCACCAGTCTGCGGAGCTGCTGCAGGTATGGTGAAAGTCTGGTCACAATTCTGGTCACTGGCCGAGCCACAATTTGAGTCGGTGCTGAATAGCCACGATTCCAAAACCTTTATACTTCCCCGTTTATGTTCCAAATTTGCCAATTCTGCTTTTTGATCACAACTACAAACTGTGTTTTTTTTTTTAATTTTCAGTGGTGGTTGGTCTACTCTACCCTTGCATAGACACCTGGCTTGGCAAGTTCCCCTGCTACAGAGTGGAATGGTCCAACGTGATGCGGTGTCTAGCCGTCTTTGTGGGCATCAACCATGCCTCTGCTGTATCCTTTCTGAGATAAATGATAAAGTCAGGGAATTAAACACATGAAGTACAAGGTGGTGGGATTTTACATCGGAAATCTTAGATTTCTGAGCTCAACTCTTAAGACCAATTCACAATTTCAGTGTGAAATCAATTTCTTAGGGTAATGATATAACTTAAATGAAATGACTGTTTTTTTTTTGTTTTTTTTCATGAAATTTGAATTTTCCTTGACCCTTACAATTTTTGCGCTCCAGAAAATCGATTTTGCCAACAACCTGCAGTTTTCCCTCACACTGGCCGCCATGTCCATTGGTCTCTGGTGGCTCTTTGACCGATCGCGGACCGGCTTCGGTCTGGCCCTTATCGTCTCCTTTCTAGCCACAGTGGTCACCCAACTGCTGGTCTACAAAGGTTTCTACAGGTAAAAAGAAACCGATTCAAAAAGGTTGCAACTTAAAACTTGGCCTAAGTTTATTGAACAGCTATGCAGAGAATTGGCAAGATTTTTTTTCACTCAGCAAAAATTAGCAGAGAACCAGTCGGACGCAGTATACATCGCATGACTTTTTGGCTGGTGACCTATGTCTGCTAAGCAAGTATTTTACTGTGCTTAGTAGATCCATGAAACCGGTCCCTAGTGCAAGGTAGTTGCTCTGGGCATGGTTATTGAGGGCGCTACGTCCACTTTAGAAGAATTCTGGGAGTTGCAAGTAGCTGGTACTCATGCTGTTCGTGTACGTTACATAATTCCCGGTTACCAGTGCAGAAAATGAAATTCGCTGCACCGTTGAGTACGCCAGGGTGAGGACTGGTTAACCACAGTTTGACTAACTTCGCTCGAACGCAGGATGGTTAGACTACTCTTAGTCAACTATTTGGGGCCGGAGCATGGGGCTGGCTGGTTACTAATAGCTGCGAGCTTCATAATGCACAGCAGGGAGCCAGGACTTTAGACCCTCGTTCGACTTGAGGCGTTCGCACGTTGCTATTAGTGCGCAGGCGTAAATAACTTCACAAATCAACCACTAGTTGACTTATGGTACTCGCCGGAACTTGCTAATTGCTCAATGCAAGATTGTGCTTTGATGGACATACATTATTGGTATTTTTGGAGGCGGGGCCTAATGTACCACATGAGGTGGGGGGGGGGGTGTCTCCTACCGTCCAAGTTCTCACTAACGTCATATCAATCAAGAGTTAAAGAATTTTTTTTTTTTTCTTGCATACTCTTGTTTCTATAGTTACACTGAGCCCGATTTCTTGTACGTACGTTCCTGGATACCCTGCGTGTTTTTCTCCGGCGGCGTTACCATGGGGAACATTGGACGACAACTCGCAGTGGTAAGACCATTTTTTTTAAATAATGTTCAAATCTCGCAATTTTTTTTTTCAGAATTTTGAGTTCGTCAGTGACACTCCTGTAAAAAAATTGGAATTAAATATGTTGGTTTTGTAACATTGTTAAGGGAAATGGGCATTGTCTCGTGCAGATACATGTACCGATGTACATGTATATTTGATCAATTGCAAAAATGGTCACGAAAACTGAGGTAAGAAAAATGTAAAAAAGGCAAAAAAAAATCAAGATTTTAACCAACATCAAGTACTGTCTGAACATGTGCCTGGCTACTTTTTCCATGCCTTACACCTAGCAAAAAGAAAACCCCGTTTGACACATTTAAAGATGAAATTTATTGTAGTTTGCCTTTTCATAAACTCAGTAAACAGTTCTACTCACCCCTGACACTATCAGGTTTCTTTTTCAGTGGATTCTCTCAACTGATGATCAATTCGTTTCTTTTCTTTTCTTTCTAATTCCTACCACAGTATGAAATGGAAAAGGAGCATAAATTGTGAACCCATCTAGTGAGACACTCATGTACAACTGGCGATAACTTTTGACAACTGCTTTTTCTTTGCCACGCCCTGTCAGCGTAAATCTTTTTCCTTCTTTTTTTTGGCCTTCTTCAAAACCATTAAAGCTTTGTTTTTCGCATATGGAGCAACCATATTGGATCTGTTGCAACTGTAAACACTGCCGTGTAAGCAAAAGAGGAACGCTGATATTGATGGAAAAAAACAAAACAAGAATGGTCAATGGCAAAAAACTGAAAATGGCAAAAAAGTGGATTTGTGTAGTAAACATGTTAAAAACTACACATACATCGTGCTGCTTGTACATAACCAAGCATTAGGTTCGTTGTAAATGCCGTCTGCAATGCAACAAAAATGCATGCTACCCTCATGCCAACAGTGTTTATCTCAACTCACCCGAGACAACGACCTTCAAAAATGGTCTGTGTCTGAAACTTGACCGTTTTGTTGTTGAGACTAAGACCTCCAAAAGATATTTGCTGTGGCTTCAAAATGAGGGCGATATCTTCAACGGGACTTCTGCCAAGTGAATCCTCCAGTGTTTTAACCGGATTTACGACCTTTGACCCATGATGCAAGATTTGACCTGTGGATATGACCCGAGCAGTGAACATGTCTAAAATGAATATCCTTGGGTGTTTGTTTAGGAGCGTTTGACCTCAAGGTTTCAAGGTTTGACCTTTGGATATGACCTCTTGACCTCTTTCCAGCAAATGCAAATTCCACGGTTCATGTGGATGCTGTATCGACTCTTAACATTGAAATGCGACCTTTTCTTGTAAAAAGAAATGACCTCTCTTGAGAAAAGGTCGTGATTAGGACTCTGTAGGTCATTGTTGTTGACCTCATGACCCATAAATATGAATGTCTGATTTCAATTTGTTGCATCAGATTTGTCAAGTTAACACCAGTTCATACTGCGAATGCGATGGGAATTTGACGTCGCAAAGCATTGTCTACGAAATTCGCCAGAGTTGAAATGTGTTCAACTTCTGCGAATTCGCGACGCGAAAAACTTGTCCTTACGTTACAAATTCACATTCGCGATCACTTTTGCGCCGAGCATGAACCGGCCATTACGCAGAAGCTTCAAAGTTTTAATTAGAAATTGATCCATATTTTGAAATTTTTCCTCCACGTTGGGCTTCCACATTTAATAAGGCTGTGTTAAACTGTGATTGACAAAATTGGTATGTATTGATCTGATTCTATTTTAAAAAACGCGCTGAATGTGACATTGCAGTATTAGAGATTTGACAAGATATAACCAGATTCAACTTTTTTAAAAGAAAATTCCTTATTCACATCATATTATTAAATGGCATACATACAAACAAGAACATTGATATCAAAATTAGGGAAAAGAGCAGTGCTAAAATAGTTTGGTTTTTCAAAAATATTCACGTGTTCATTCTCAACTTGAAAGTTGTTACATTCGTAAATATGTTTCTGTTGGTTAGGTAGCCAATTTTAAAATATAGAAATTTTTGGGACACAAAAACATTACCTTGGTTTAAGCGTGAGACCGTTATTAAAAATATTTAATTACTATTTTAATAATGTCACCCTATAATCACAATACATTTTACAATTCGTTATTGCCAACCGGGGCAAGTGAAAATTATGATAAAAATCTAGAAATGCAATGATACACAGTTTTGAAGTAGAATACCAAGCAATTTCCACATGTGATTTCAATAGTTTGGCTTTAAAAGTTTACAAATGTCATTCGTTAACAAGTTAGAGCAACTTGTCTTCATGTTGTTAATTTGATTGTTATTTTCATGAATTGTCAAACACTGGCTTGCAAGTTTCAACTTTAGAGCCTATCAACCGAAATATTTGCCTTTTATTTACGTTCTGCAAGTGCCTGTACTTCTGAATGGGCCGGACTTACAAAGAACTTAGGTATTCAATTTTCATGTGACAAATAAGTTCGCTCATACCCCCGCCCTGCAAACAGGGCACTGGGATACTCTGATGAGCTTCACAGAATCTTGTGAAAGAAGTGGCCTATGACCTATGTATAAAGCATCTGGCTGCAGCTGCTCAAGACCGCAGTTAGACAATGTGCGCAAATGCTATCCGAAAAACTTCCCATAGAAATGCGTACATTCAATACCGGATGTGATTTCTGTTTCATTGCGGACTATGTGGACAAAATTGTGCGTGTCGCATAATGCAATCCAACCATGATCCGACCGTTGGTGATTCGAAACGGAGCCTGAGCAAGTGATGGGAATTGTAAATTTACAACACAAGTTTTACAGAATTTCCTACATTATGACGCTTTTCAACGAAAAAAAACCCCATCTCTAAACTGGAATAAAAGAGTAATGACTCCGTCTTAACGGCCGTTTCAAACCTTGCAGAGTCATGACCGTGATGACGCACAGGTCACGCAAAATCCAACCAATCAGAGCGTGAATTCATCAGAGTATCCCAGCGTCCTGTTTGCAGGGCGGGGCTTACGAGCGAAACAAATAAGCACCACAATGTTTTGTCATCTTAACACAAAATAAAATAAAAATCATTCAAAGGGCTATTTCATTTCAAGTCCAATAATCATTTAGTCCATTTTCAAGTCAGATTGTATAAATAAAGTTATCCACATATAAAAGGTACCACTTTTTTCTGCACATTTTGAGGGAATTAATAAAGCTTTTTTGGAATTTTTTTCCTTTCAACTCAGAACTTTGAAAGAAAAAGTCCAAACAATCATTGCTTACCTTAAGTTTTTGTTAAAATAAAAGGTGGTTTAATTTTAAATATCGTTCAAAATACTATTTATGTTATTTAGTTTTAAGTGTTTTTGTAAATTTCCCAGAATTTTGAAAAACGAATCACGCTCCATGTTTCTGTTCTTAGTTGGTGTTGAATTTTGGTAGTTGGGGATTAAATTCATAGTTACTTCATTTTGGTTTTTTTTGCTTCAGATCTGGAATCCAACTCCGAGATTGTTTGTACATATATTGTAAATATTAAACTTTTTTTCTGGAAACATTTTAACACTTATTCCCAAAACCTTAACATAATGTGTGATATTAATAAAGATGTGCAATTGATAACAAATAACTGATGTATATATTTTGTCTTATTAGAAGTCAAATATGATTATTACTGAAGTGAAAAAAAAAAACCTTACAGGATTTTCCATACAAGAAAACTACACTGTCTACTCAGAATACATTTCTTTTTGACTTTGGAGTTTTGAGGATTTTAAAAAAATCTAGAAATATAAAAAAACAAAAGGAAAACACAGCATATTGGAAGTTTTCTTACCAAGGAAAAAGACACTACAGAAACCCACATGATCATACAAGTTTGATGAGAAATTCTGAAAACTTCTTGATTTCGAGTCTCCATAAAGTGAGTCTCTATAAAATAATGACCCCTCAAGAAGAAATGAAGACATCACAAGAGGGCGCTATACTGGTTAGATGGTCTGTGCATTAATACAAAATCTAGACTGGCTATTTGCTCAAAATTTTCACTAGCAAAAAAAAAACGGCTGCGTCCCATAACCGCCATTTTATGTGAGGGTGCACGAATGCACAAGGTCACATGACGCTCGCGTGGTGTTTACAAGCGGAATGGTTGTTCACATAACATTGTGGTTACAAGACGCAGAGTATTTTACTAACGGAAACATGCAATGTAAAAGTATATGAATGGCCGGTCTAGGTTTTTTTAAGATGCCTTTGAGGAAATATCCATAGTGCAACTGGCATGGTAAACATGAATGGCACGTCAATAGACCTAATACCTAATGACGTCAAGCTTTGTTTTATGTTTACATGTGCGCTTTCCTATGGGTGCAATAGTGCAAAAAAATTCCCATAGCCACTAGTGCTAAATGCCCATACTTCAAAATTCTTTTAAAAATACTCAGAACTCTCTCAGGTATTTAAGCTGCACAGAAAAATGATGATCGACATGTCATCTTTCAATTTCTTTTCATTTCTTGGTGGGTTGACCACTGACTTTTCGAGAAATTTTCGCCCAAAGAAGACGACCCCTATTTTCCCCAAAGCGGAACGGTAGCCATCTTGAAAAACGATCCCTCCACAATATGGCAAAATAGCGCCACTTTCGAGCCCAATTGTATCCAAAATGCTCAGAATTGGAAGCCCCGAGTCCGGGCCAGAGGGTCATTGCCATATCTTTTCAATTCCCCAATGTTATGGCTCTCAGAACTCTCTAATATAGAAATTTTGAGGGTATAACTTTTATTCATGAGTTCGGCGGATGGGTTTAGGCCTATTTACAGGTGTGCACCCTTTATAGTACGAGAGCGCACATGTAACCAAAGCGTGACGTCATTAGGTCTTAGGACTATTGATAAGGATCACCAATGTTTGTAACTCACAAATTCGTCCAGTGTTAAAAACAAAATGTAACTTGCTAATGCAAGCTAAATGACTTAGCCAACATACTCTTATTCAAAAAAAAAATTAATAAATGATTTTACAATGCCTGTTCAAAACTGTACATTTTATCATACATGCAACAGATATTGGCACGAGTTAAGTCAATTTTAAACAGTAAATACATTTGTAGTAAGAAAAAATATAAAAACCCATTTCATGGGCGCATTCGTAAGTCTCAATATATATATATCTTCTTTCTCTGTCACAACGTGCATTTTTGCACTTGATGACAATACACACACAATGCTGATTTTTATACACAAATGCTTTAGCAAGACAGATTTTGTTTAAGTACTGCAAGTTTGTCCAACATTTAAAACAAGTTTACAAAACATCTTATATTATCAGTTATCGGCTACTTTTCATTAGACATTTTCTGACAAGTTGTATTTGTCTAAACAAACGTAGATATATCTCTTGAACGATCGAGAAGTCTTTTTAGGATTTTTCGCTGGTCTCCGAGGACCAGCCTACAGACTTGTTTGTCCCTATCTCACTGACTGACTGTCTGTCACCTGTGAGCTGGGCAGTGCTATTGTATAGGATTACCTTAAACGCCACTGAACGGGACACAAATCCGGCCCATTCCGTAAACAGATGCATGAAAAGACTTCCAGTGAATAGAAATTCTGAATACCTTTTCATGCGAAACTTCAAATCTCAATCTGAATCGATTGAATAGAATTCTGTGCACTCTGGAACCAGCTTTCCTAGGCTAACCTAGTCTAATTTTACCCTTTGTGACGAGTGACGGAATTCGACACTGCCAGTGACAGCCCAGTTTGATGTGTGGCACATCAAAAAATGATAACAGCGGAACAAAAAATGACTGTGCTGGCACATTTCGTCAGCAACACCACGAAGTAACACCCATGATGTGCATACTAATAAAAACTAGCAATCGGAGAAAACGGCATCTAAAGTTGAATGCCTTCTAAAACAACACTTTGCGTCAAAACGGTAGAGTATTTTAAGTTGGGTTTCTCATTGTGGACACTTGATGAATTGAATTGATTAAATCTGTTGTTTTTCACCCGTTTGTGTATTTAATCAACAAGAAATGAGAAAAAAAAAAGGCGAGTGTTTGTTCTTGAAACCAAAAAAGTTGCGAAACTGTAATTTTTCGTTTTCACGAAGTAACACTCTTCAACGTACATGTATACAACACGAGGAAAGTGCAACTTCAGGTCAGCGTGCGCGCTCATACAAGGAGAGTGTTACTTCGTGAAAACGAAAATTGTTACTTTAGCGCAAAAGTTGCCATGGATAATTAGCGTAATTATCAAAGTAAAGTTCTTGAAGCTTTGAAACTTCGTGTAATGGTAGGCCTTGATGAATAATGTTTAAAAATGTATAAAACTGAAAATCGAAAAAAAATACGGTTTAACACGTGGAGTGTTACTTTGTGGTGTCAGTGATGATTTGTTCCAAGCACTTTTAGGGACTAATTTCTCCCATTGCAATATGGGTGGTTTCGTTTGTTCCTCCCTATCAGCTTTTCTTGTGTTTTTTGTAATGAGCGAACTCCCAGGCTTCCGTCGGCCGGTCACCGCAGACGTTGATGACGAGGACTTTGGTCTGTAGGCCGGCCACGTCCAGGCACATGCCACTCTCTCTGTGGACAATCTGACCGGGCTAGAAATTTGAAAGGAAAGAAACGAATATTTTTAAACTCAGAAACTGGTCCATTCTTCCTGCCACAGAAATAAAACATACAAGCCAGCAGCAGACAGAGGACAGACAGAGTATATTGTCCAAACTTTCAGAAAAAAATACTTTCACATCTAGTTCTTTTAACCACTTCGCGCCGGGATTATTTCGGCATTGACTGGACCCAGGTGCAGGATTGCTTTTCACCTCGACGCCAGACGGGTTCAGGCCGTCATCTGTGGGTAGCACACCCTGATATTTCTGGCCTCGCTCACTGAAAGCAGGTCGCTGACAGACATTTCCGGCCTTGCTCATTTACGTGTTTATCTGTCATCCGTTACGAATACCGCAAAACCTTTGAGTGTCATCCGTTCTGAATACCGCAAAACCTTTGCGTGTATACACATCATCTGACGTGAACTGATTTACACTTTTTCGCAGAAATTTATATAAGTTTACATCAGTGTTGCAATAGAGTCCATGAAGAGTCCATCACAAGTCCATCACAAGTCCATCACAAGTCCATCACAAGTCCTCCAGTCCTTAGTCAAGTCACAAACAATTCAAATGAACTGTGACAAAGGAATTCCTTCCTCTTGTTTATCTTCTGAAAGTAGCTAGACTTTGTGAACTGAATAGTGATTTGCTTGCATCTAGATATGAGATGGACTTGTAATGAACTCAGCGACAATATTAGCATTTGCGCACCTGTTAATTGTACCCCAAAACCAGCCCTGCCCAACCCCAGCCCTACTCCACCCCTCAACCCCGTGGAGTGCTGTGGCCTCGTGGTTAATGGCATTGGATTCGTGGTCTGTGGGTAAAGCTGCAGGTTGTGGGTTCGAGTCCAGCCTGGGGCCATGGTGCGCGTGCCCTTGGGCAAGGCACTTTGTCACTCATTGCTTTTCTCCACCCAGGAGTAAATGGGTACCTGTGAGGGCAGAGATGATTACTGTGATTGAATTAGCTTCCTTGCGCCTAACAGGCAGCATCGAGCTGTGTACTCCCCAGGGAGCTGAAATGGTGTTTGGGATGTTTCATGGGTCCAATGAGCAGGGTAATACTAATGTAGCACCTTGAGCACCAGTCCTGGTGGATACCGGTACGTCCGATTTATAAATACCAATTATTATTATTATTACGTGGGGTTTTGGTCAAGTTTAAAGACGCTGAGTTTTTTTGTACCTTGTCATGTTTCCATTCTTGGCTGCCGCCCATTCCGTGGCAGCCCTCTAGTGTCAGCTTATGGCCAGCTCTGTAGTCGGCCAAGTCCAGGCACAGATCCTCCCATCTGATTTCACCATCCAGTGTGACCATAAACGCCTGCCACACAAAATACAGAAATAGATACTAAGCAGACAAATCTGGGTACATGAGTGATGCTAACTCACAGGACACGTCTTTAAAGGTATAGAGCCGTCTCGCCCACGTCATGTTACCGCAGCAACGCACAGCGCCCTCCATATTGGATTACAGGGACGTTGACGGCGCGAAGTTTATAACACGTAAATAGGCTACAGACGATCCCGAGTACTCGACTTGCAAGACAAGTTAGTGTCATGATTCATTGATCTCCAGTGCTGAAGTGCTTGCTGCTACCACTAAATCGACAACTGTAGCGGGGATGTAATTCCAGGTAGGCCTACTAATCATAAGATTTCAGTGTCATGAAATCAAGTCCGAAATAAACAAACGGTGGCGTCCGGAAATTGGGCACAAATTCAGCTGGGTGTTCCGTAAGTAACGAGTAAACGTGCAGACTTGGCGCACTTGAACAAATCTCTGAAAATCCCACATTAACATTTAATAATTTCTTTAAAATTTATAAATTCAGATAAATCATTGTAACCTCCAGTTTGTAAAATCATTTTCATGTTTTGGGGCGCATTTTAAAAGAGTTCATTGTCATTGTGCACTTCGAAAAAAAAATCAGAAAATAACGCCAAAATAAAATTTCATTGGAACTTTGTAAATATGTTTTGTTCATGTATTGTTTGACTCAGGCCTAGCCCTATTCTCGATTTTGATCCTCTGTTTAATGCATTGTTTACTGCAATACACGTCCAAATGTAAACAACGCATTATACAGAGGATCTAAATCGAGACTAGCCTAGCCCTAGCTTGAGTGACTCCAGCTGACATGCTCATATTCATTCACATGCTACATGTGAATGAATATGAGCATGTCAGCTGGAGTCACTCAAGCTAGCCTAGCCCTAGCGTTAGTTCAGTATTTGACCATAATGACATTTCTTTTGTACAAAACATGAGACAGGCTGAATATTTAGGTTTTTCCTACTCATAGTGAAATCATCACATTTTTCATTGCTAATTTTTATCCCATCTGAACTGCACTTAGCCTTTGGCCTAAGTTATTGTTTTTATTTAAGGAAAAAATGTAATTGTCAATTAAATCAAGGGCAAACACTGCAAAGGTTGATTTATAATGTCAAGTATTGCCCTGTATGAGCTTGATGAGAGCTGGCGATCACCAGTAATTTGTGTGTGTGTATGTGTTATTACTCTGCAGATTGAGCACCATTAATTTTGCTTTTTTTGTGTTCTGTTTTTATTTCGCAGTTGACTGTATGTAAACCTGTTATCATGGCAGCAAGATCAACATACTACCAAGCCCTGGATGGCCCTGCAAAAGTCCGATATAACAAGATTCTGCAGTGTATTGATGACATTGATCCATACACAATTAGTTTGCGGTCATGGAAAGAGGATCCACATTCTCTTCCTCAAATATCGTATCCTGACATTGTTAATTTTCTAGTGTATACTCCTAGTCCATACACTTTGGAGGACTTGAAATGCTATAAAGGCCTGGATGCGTACAACCAATTCGTAAGTGGATGGGTTCGTAATGTCGTTTCTACCGTCATCAACGGCAAGCACGTTGTTACAGCAAAGGTAATAAACTAAGACTTGGTGGAAAAAAAATTATGTGCCCTTAATGTAAACTTTCTGTAATTCACTCCCCATCAGTGCACACCATAAGAAGATGCTACTTTAATACAGTGCAAGTCTTTAATTGTCCTTGTTATGAAATATACAACTTTTTAAGGAAAACAAATATCAGATCTTTACATTCCATATTTTGTACATTGGTCTTGGGCATGTTACTTCGTGTGATATTCTTTCTGTTTGGTTTACTGAAAATGTTTTGTAACTTTTTTCTTAACACTTGCAGGTGATGCATTCACAGAGACTGCGGGAGGCGGCACTCAAGCCATGGTTAATTGCAGAAAAGTGTGGGAAGATCATCGCAACCCACTGTAACTGCATTGCTGGTCTCGGAGAGGCTTGTACTCATGTCAGTGCTTTGATGTTTTACATTGACACAAAGGTGCGTATCAGAGATAGCAAAACAGTAACACAGGAACCAGCTTACTGGAAGATTCCATCTGCTGTAAAGGATGCCCAATACTTACCTGTAGCTCAAATAGACTTCACATCAGCCAAAACCAAAAAGAGGAAGCTTGATATGTTAGTTAATGATGGTTTGATGCCACCTCCACGAAGCAAGGTGCGGAAGATAGTTCCTGGGCCTACTGATGCTGAACTCACAACCCTCTTCTCGCAGATGAATGCAACAGGAACTAAGCCGGCACTCCTCAGCGTTGTACCTGAACACTGCCACCAATTCAAACCATCACATACTGACAACATCCTTCCACCAATTCTAACCGATCTGTATAACCCTCAGTACTCAACTCTCTCATTTCCTGACCTGCTTAACAGATGCAACAAATTTCAGCTGACAATTACCCAAGAGGAGGCAGACAATGTAGAAAAGGCAACAAGAGCACAATCATCCAGCAAGAAATGGTTTCGTTTTCGATCAGGCCGCACCACTGCATCAAAGATGAAGAATGTTTGCAGGACTAATCCAGACCAACCTTCTCAATCACTCATTCAATCTGTGTGCTATCCAGAGTCGTGCAGGTTTTCTACAGCTGCAACCAAGTGGGGATGCTCCCATGAAATAGAGGCACAGCAGGCTTATGTGGAAAGAATGGGAGAAGTGCACCATAATTTTGATGTTAAGGACTCTGGCTTGGTAATTAACACAAGTTGCCCCCACATTGGGGCTTCCCCAGATGGGCGTATTTCCTGTGATTGCTGTGGGGAAGGTGTCCTAGAAATCAAGTGTCCATTTTGTGCTCGTGACACTCAAGTCAATGAATATGCATCCCTACAAAATACATGCCTTGTAGCAAATGATAACGAGGTTTCTCTTGATAGGAAACATGCATACATGTATCAGGTTCAAACACAAATACATACTTGCTCTGTTGACTATGCTGACTTTGTGTTGTGGACAAATACAGATGTCCATATCGAGCGAGTTGAGCCTGATGCAAATATGTGGGATGAAATTCTAGAAAAAAGTCGCGAGTTTTTCTACAAAGCAGTGCTACCAGAATTAATGGGCAAATTTTACACCCGTATCCCATCTGTTCACGATAAGCCACCAGCTACACACTGCTACTGTGGAAAATCGCAACCTGTGGACAAGATGATCTCATGCGCTAATGAAGGCTGCAAAATCACCTGGTTCCACCAAAGTTGCCTCCAGATAAAGAGACTGCCAAAAGGGAAATGGATCTGCCCAGAGTGTCGTAAAATACCACGGAAAAAGGAAGAATGAAATTTTTATTATAACAATAATTGGTTGTGCTTTTTAAGGAAAGTTGCAGAGAGTATATATCACTTTCTTTTTTCCACCCCAAGGCAAAAAATGCATAACTTTTGGGCTAAAGCCATTCCCTGAAAAAACTAGTTTTTTTTTCACTTTGAGAAAAGATAAAGGCTTTTGTGCAAAAACATGATCTTAATTGTCCAATGGGCTCCATCACTGTGGAAAGACTGTACCCTTATCCTTAAAAGAATACATTTAAAAAGGGCTCCTGCATGTACCTTACTTTTCCTAGTTGTATTAATTTCAAATGGGTGCAATCAAATGTACATGTATAGAATTCCCTTGTAACACACACCAGGCTGTAATAAAAACAAAGGACCTCTGATCAAAGTTTTTCTTTCTGTAACAGTAAGCAAGTGTTTTTATTATTGAGTTTACACTGTGCATACTCATACGACAATGCAGGTGAACACATTTCAGAAAATACTGTAGAAAGTTGCTCTAATGAACATTCTGCATCCGTGAACATGACTCATGGCTCTCAATGTGTAAGTTACAGTGTATCTCTTTGCTTCCTATAGTCTATAGTACATGTATAATGATCACCCACAGTAACAACAACTTTTGATGGATCCCAAGGTTATTCGTTATCTACTGTACTGTAAAATTGACTTCTCTTCAAGGGCGTGCCTTATGTCAGAACCCACAATTGTAATATACAAAAATAAATAACATTCTTGTTATGTATACATGTCCAAAGGATGTGTTTCTCTGGTTCTTCCCCCCCCCCAATAAATATATATATATATAGTTTAAATAAATATATATATAAATAAATATAATATAAATAATATAATATATATATAATATAATATAGATGTAAAAACAAAAGTAAAACAGTGCTCACCGGTGAGCACTGTTTTACTTTTGTTTTTACATCTACTATGCTTCACAGTGCTACGCAGCATCCCCACATTTTATAATATAATATATATAATATATACATGTATAAATAGATATATCCAATGAAAATGGCATCCATCACAATCCAATATATGAATAATATAATATATATAAATAAATATAATAAATAAATGAATGAATAAATAAAAATGTACATATATAAATAAATGAATAAATAAATATAAATACATGATCATAATTAAAATAATACACTGGTTAAGATAAAATGTGTTTGGAAATGGCCACAACAATGAAAACTATATACACCGGTTATAAAAAAGAATCACAACATTTACACTGCCATCCACCACCGCATTAGGCATTTATACAAAATAAGCTTATAACTCATCATGGGCGGGGGCCAGCAGCTTCTAGAGTGCGTGTTCGATTATAAATCATTAAATGTCCTCTTCAATAAGACAGAGGTTTTAGCCAAAATTCAATACAATAGATATTTCGTCACCACCACGAGTGTTTTGTTTTTCCATGAAAGTCTACTTTCATTCATTTCTAATCTATTTTTATGTGCTCATTTTATTTTTTATTGTTGGACCATATTTCTTGAAATTCAACCCCCCCCCCCCCAATGTGAATCATATCCATTCACTAATATGAAGAAGTAGACATTCGAATGGATGGAGTTATTGGAGTAAGGGTTGCTATAAATCATATGATCCAACGTTACTTTCTCTCAAATGGTTTGTGACAGATTATTTTGGGAAAAACCACAACAAATAGCATCAATGCTATTATGACAGAGTGTTGTAATGACTTGGACTCGAGACTCGGGACTCCAATCGACTCAAGTATCCAACCTCAAATGACTTGACTTGGATTCGCTTCACTTTTTCAAATGACTTGACTTGGATTCGAATCACTGTCAAAAATTACTCGACTTAACTCTGACTCGAGTCTGCCAAAACAGATTTTTTTTTTAAGATAACAATTTAAACTTAGCTTGAACGAAGTTACTGCAGTGACAACTTGACTTGACCTGACTTCACCAACATGCCTGTGTTGATTTGATTTGACTAGGGATTTGAAGGTACATGAACATGTACATGAGTTTGACTTGACTTGGCACTCAGAAGGCAGTTCAACTGGACTTAACTTGAGACTCAAGCAGAGGGAGACTTGTTCTAAAATTGTTATGACATGGAAGAAAAATAGGCAATAAAGATTGAAAAATTGCTTCAATGACACTTGTGTCTGGAAAAGCAAAAATCCATTCAGTCAAAAGGAACAACTGATGGGCACATGTTGGTCAAAGAACAAGATACAACGGTGATTTTGTCCAGAAGTGTAACATTATCATCTCTGGAAATGACAAAATCCATGGGAATTGTGCTGTGGAGGATGGTATATTTCTGGCGCAGATGTCCTATAACTCGCTCCACATGAATTCTGGAGTTTGCTACTCTGCGCGTGTTTTCAACTTGCTCTCCAGATAGTCGTGGCCCATCTCTTCTAAATGCAGGGAGTACAAGCTTAGCACCCATCATTCCAACGCTGTCTGAAACATCAAATCCCCTGTCTGCCATCACAACATCCCCTGGACACAACTTGTGGAGAAAAGATGAATGTTCAACCACGTATTTGTCGCTTGCTCTTCCACCCCAGCCTTGTGATAAATAAGATATGACTCCTTGAGGGGTGATGCCGATTAAGTATTTAACAGTGTTGTTGTGTTTGTACGAAGACCATGTTGACGTTCGTGCTGCAAGATTGGACGGCCTTTCTAAAAATATTTCGAAGCAATCGATAATAACAGTTATCTGTTTGCCAAAGTGTGTCCTGAAACTCATGGGCATAGTTTCCCACAGCTGTTCCCGATCAGGCCAAAATATGAGTGGCATCAGTCTGATATACATGATGTTAATAATGTTCAAAAATGTTTTAGATGCTGTAGACTTATGCACATTAAACCTCTGCCCAAGGTCCACATATGTAGGATTCAGTCGGAGTTTTATGAGGCACAACACTAGCTGCTGAAATTTTGTTAACTTGTTCAAACAGCTGCACACAATGAATGTTTCTAGGTACGTAAACAAAACATCCAAAATGGCAAAGCTTGACAATCCTGTGAAATGCTTCACATTTTCATCATTATCTTGGAAGAACTGCCGATCAAAATTATTGTTACTCTCAGCCAGCTGCTCTTTCAATTTTCGATTTTCCTCTAACAATCGCTGTAATTCCGTTTGTGTGGATTTCATGGAGTTGCTATCCAAGTCAGTTTGGCAGGCCTCTTCGGAAGTGGACTGTTGTCGTTTGGGGGTCTTGGGAACTGAATGAAGCTGGAGAAGAGCCTCGGCGGCATCCAATTTGGACTTCTGTCCCTGCCTGTAGCAGCGTCTTTGGTACCTCTCCAAGTCTCGAGTGGCAGTTGCACCATCTATGTTGCTGTGACCAAGCTTGACAGTTGGTGCCCAGTCTGGATTGGTATTATCATACAATGCAGAGGGCTTTCCTACAGGGAATAAAATACAAAATAAGTTAACAAATTGTTCATTCAAATAACATTATAGTGGGTGGACCCCTATTGATCAAAAAAAAAGGGTTGGTTCCATAATCCTTTGTTTTTTACTCCCAACTGCACATACGTAACAATGCGCCTTGTTTTTCTTTCGTGACCTTTGACAATGCATGTGCTACTACGTTCACACAAAGGCTTTTTGTGTGCATCTCATCTAGGCGCTTGCGTCAAGCAGGTCTGATATCGCGCACTCTGCATGTGTCCTGCACTGCTCCCTGTAGGATGCCATCTTGATGTTGATCACCGTTGTCAGGCATTGTGGGTATTGTCAAAGGTCACGACAGAAAAGCAATGTGAGCAGTTAGGGGTTACGTATGCGGTTACAAAAAGGGCTAATGTACAAGAAATTGGCAGAGAAAATGAGCGTTGATTTCCATATAATATCCATTATGCAAGCACTATCTCAGAATCTCAGAATGTTGACTGGACATCGCTGCTAGGCATCATCATCCAACTATGGATTTACAATCTTGTTAAAGTGCAGGCTTGATGAAAAAAAAAAAAATTAGCGAGGAAAAATATTGGAAAGAATTCCATACCCAGCCACTTCCATGCACAAAACCTACACTTACGGGACATGCCAATGTTTCCTAAGAAAATCTGGCAAAAATCTGAGCGCGGTTTGCTCACAGTCACAGGTACACTTAAACTTTAAATTTGTGTCAAAATCCCCATCCCGGGGCATGAAAAACATAACGAAAACCCCAAATAAGGGTCGGAATAGTGCAAGGAGGTGGAGAGGGCCAGGGGAACATTAAGTCCATGGAGTACCACAGAATAAAAGATTTTTCATAAATTTCAAAGAAAAACTTTAAATTTTCTCACTCCTGTAACTGTAGTGTAATATTAATAATATTATTAAAATAATCATTTTTAGGAAAGAATTCCATATACAGACTCCTCCTCAGACCTTCTGCACAAACTGTATGGGCCATGACAGAAAAAAGTCACTTGAGGTGTTTTCTGACAAAAAATCTTGATTCAGTTTTCCCTCCTAAATTTGCGTTTCTTCATCAGATTTACAACTTTGGGTACTTAATTTCAAGTCATATTTAGGAAAAATAAGAGGAGTCCGTATACGGAATTCCTTTTACTCAAATAACTCACCGCTTGTAAAATGGTCCGAGCAGACCCGTACATACGGCAAGTTGCTCTCTTTAATGTCTCGGGCGATTTGCGACAGCCATTTAGCACGTCTGCTCTGGGAGAGTTCCAGAGTGGCAGCTCCTTCTCGGGTCAAAACGGCGGGCAGCCGAAAAAAAGATTTTTTGTCCCGATCCCCCCTGTTGCTGCAGCCAATAATTGCGCAAAAATTCACCATTTCTATGTCTTACACAGCTTGGAAACATAGAAAATGTCGAAACAGCAACCAACTGATAAAAGTGTGTATGCTGCGCTACGCTACCGTCACGTACGTACATGTACGTGGGTACGGCATGTACGGGTACTTGTGTGCGTTTTGTTGTTGTTATGTTGTAATCCAACATGGCCGACCAACAAAACAATGACGTCACCCTCGCGCCCTCTATAGTCCATCATTTGTAATTGGTGCATTTTGTTCGTTCGAAGCAACAAAAGTGCTCAATATCTAAAGAAGGGTGCTGAACAACTAACCTGATGAACTTTCAGCTCAGCTTCAGCTGTATATTTTGAGAAAAACAACGATCTAGGACCTCGATTTCAAATCAAAAGTTGCCGAATCATGTTTTGAATTGAGCCCGAATTCAGCGTCCGAGACACGTTCTCACTGAGCCGATTGCAGCAACGCGATGTGGCGCACTGATCCGACGAATTATAGCAACCGCGCGCGCGTGTGCGTCGTGTCAACGCTTGTGCGTGCTTCGCCGAATAAAAAAACGAACTACCAACGGAAATTTCAAACGGTGCGTCTTAAGACGCATCGTTGGAAAGGCCTTCTTTCGTTGATTTCTTCAAAATGACAGCTTGCCAGAAATAATAATTTCACAGGGAGTTTAGTCCCCTTACTATCTTTCAACCAAGTATGTTTTTCAACAATAATTACGCCAGTTACTTTTTGGATAGCTGCAAATGATGGACTCTAGCTTTAACAGCAGAAGCATTGTGACAGCTATCATTCATAAATAATTGCCAAAACAAAACAAAAAGTCAGTCTCGAATGTGGGAGGAAAGTCCTAGCGATTTCACTCAGAGTGAAACCTATGCATATTGGACTGACTACCCGATGTATATGAAGTTCAAGGTTGGATTAGATCCAGGCTCATCCGGTTAGAATAGTACCACTGCGATGTGTTTTACCAGGGTGTCTTTTGACCAGCACAATAGTCTATAGCCACGTTCCCACTGGCCTTTTTTTCCACAGCCATGTGGAAACTTACCGCAACATTCCTTTGCGGAAGTCTGCTGTGCGTTCCCACTCGGGAACGGAACACCGACAGAACGTTTATTCAATGTGAGTCACTGGCAGAATGTCCTTAATAACTTACCATGGTTGCGCAGTAACTTACCATAACCACTTTCGGCCTGGTAGTTTTATATCACGGTCGCGGTAAGTTGACAGGGAGGTTAGTTTTACCGTCCATCCCCATTGGACTTAATTATGTCATTCTACAGGAAAGTCATGGTAACTTAACCAAAAAAAGTCCAATGAGAACATGGCTTAACAATGTAGATTTAGAGACCGACACAGATGTTTCATAAACTTGATGATAAAGAAAAAACTTTCTGTATGTAATATTTAAAAAGCTTAGTCAACACCAACACCCCCCCCCCCAAAAAAAGAAGCAAGCTAAGGCCAAAAAAAAAAAGTCTCCGGTTTCTGGTATGCGCGCGCGTCGCCGTAGCCATGCGCGTCGGCAAAATGAAAAAGGTTTTTTTTCAATAAAAGATGATGTCTCAAAACCGCCAAACTCACTGGTTTGACTGGAATCCTGCTGCTGCACAATTTTAACGTGTTTTAGATGGGGTTATGATCGAGAATAAGCTTTGTGTGGCCTCTCTGGACTCCCATATATTTGCACTAAGTTTAGTCGGGCACCATTTGCAGTCATCAGCCGACATTTGAAGCAAAAAAAACAGGTAAAAAAAAAAAAAAAAGCCGCGTCGCCGCACCACTTTTTGGGCAAGCTCCATACGAGAAACCGGAGACTTTTTTTTTTGGCCTAACCACCAAAGAAAACAAAATTTAGTTAAAGGAAAACCTGACAATTCAACTTTTTTTCCATAACCCATGATAACATTAATAAATGAGAGAATTTGCCTTGCCACAAATAACACGTGGTAACATTTTGAAAAGCGTCACCTACCTGGCTGGGTAGGCCTTTACCGCATTTGCTGACTCCGATGGGCTTGCTCTCTCCTGCCTTCAGTGTGTCCACACACAGGTTGGCCTGCTTGTTGTGACACTGACAAATACAAAATAATCAGCCAAATATAATGAGACAGATATTTTCAAGGATAGTGGCCTAATAGAATTGGGTAAACTAGTGCAGGGCCAGTTGAAAATGTGCCTGTTCGGGAGGGGCAAGTTGAAAATGTGCCTGTCCGGGAGGGGCAAATTTCTTGACTGCTGGCAGCGTTTTTGAGAACTTTTTTATTCTATGCGCGGACGCGGCATATTGACGCCATAGATATAGAACTATATCTATGATTGACACGGCATATTATTCTATGCGAGGACGCGCGCTTTAGCTCAAACATGACGTTAACAATTGAAAAGGACTGTGCGTGTTCTAAGTTAATAATCTGCCACGTTGAGGCTAAAAAAATGCAGACATGACTACTTTTATACTGAATTTGCCCCAAGCCATAGCATCTTAGCATGAGCGGCAGGCGTCGCCGGCAATGCGTTCGAATGTCTATCCCAGTGGTCTCCCCCAACTCTCCCTTTCTTACCGTCGAGGGGGTACTTGTGCACGGAGCTCTTACTACTGCAAAGGCAGCATTTTCAATGCAATTTCACAAGCTTTGGGGATATTCTGTGTCCCAACATGCATTTATGATTTTAGGCCAGGTCCCCACTTGTATATAATAGGCTTGGGCGGTTCCAGGTTAGAATCAAACAGAATCGATTCCAAAATTTGAATTGAATACCGGTAGATCCAGACACTTTAAAATGCATTTCATTCAACATGTCCATATGAGGCAAATTATCATTTTTACAAGATTAACTCCTTTAAATGATTCTGTATATAGTGATTCAATACTGCCATTCATTTGTGAAATTCAAGTTAAAGGGAAAATACAACATTTGCAAACATCAAAAAATAAAACTACCAAGTTGTTACGAAATACCTTACGAGGATGTTGGGTAATAACAGTCTAAAGCATCCTGTAAAATTATGGCACCTGGTGTGAAGTCATTTTTAAGAAAAATGGTACTTTTGTATACATTTCCAACGGTGGGCGGCCGACCACCGTTGGAAAAACCTAACTATTTCTCAACCACTGCTCCAAATTAACCATTTTGTTCCAGTCCAAATTTTGTTTGCTATATTGGTTCCATGTTCATGAACGGGTGCACGCCAGCTAGACTGGTTCCCTTACCTTACAATTTTCCGGCATTTTTATCCATTTCATCTTCAGTGGAGTCAGGGAACCAGACTACCTGAACATTTTTGTTTTTCTTGGTTTTTCCGGCATTTTCGAACGCGAAAAACCTCAAACATGTCAGTGTAACAATATTTGATCTATTATACTAATCCCCAAATAATTCATTTCTGAAAATTACTGCAAAAGCCAATGATGTACATTCCCTTTAAGGAGGTCTTTTCTTTCTGATTTTCTTCCTTTTTTTTCAGAAAGCATGGATTTGATTCTTAATAGAAATGTGACTCCAGTTTACAATCGGATTCAATTCTAAAAATGTTGGAATCACCCAAAGCCTAGTATACAAGCATGCTAAACATCACAGATTAGCGCAAAGATTATTCAAATGTGTGAGTATATTCTTGCTTACCCTTCCCCACGCTACCAGTTGGTCCTGCGCCGTGCCCAGCAGGCTAGGGTAGACCTTCTCTAGATACCACTGGAAGGGATGGCAGGCCAGCTTCTGCCGTAACGCTTGTCTGTCCGAGATGTCGCCGTAATATTTGTTCTGTTGGTAAATCAATTGAAATTCAAGTAATCAAGTGAACAAATTATTTTTATAAACAAAGACAGTAAACCACGCAGCTTTTACTATTGTAAACCAAAATCAGAACTTAAAACATTGCCATAAAAGGCAAAAGAATTTCAAGTGAGCACGCAACTCAATTCTGGTGTCGGGGGCCATACTTGAAATTTCAGCTCTCTGACATTTGAAAGAACCTTCGGTAAAGAACACGCAGTCATTCACAATTCAAATTTTAACCAGTTTGCGCCAGAGGCCGTGTATACACGCAAACATTTTCCGAAGTCAGATCAGATGAATGAAAAACTCCCCACGACAGAGGCCGTAAAATATCTGTCAGCGAGCCACAGCCACTGACCGCGGCCGGAAATATGACTCTTTAGCCCCAGGGTAATGGCTTTGACCCGCCTGGCATTGCGGTCGAGTGAATATTAAACCTGTGCCTCGCTCCATTCTTGTCAAAATTAACCCGACCTCAACTGATTAAGGAGACAAAGCCATTCTTTTCTCTCTTGAAACAATCCCTGTTTGAATTTTCAAAATGTTTACTGATAAATCTTTTTGGTATTTTAATTTAAAAAAACCTGAAACCTAAACTGTTTTGTTCATGCTAAAATGTTTACTTTTTTAGAATGGAAAATGCAAACTAACTTGTGCTTCAGGCAGGGAAGCGTAGAAGTCTCTCTTGTAGGTATCCATCCAGACCTCGGCGACACGTCCAAGGTTGTGCAGATACGAGGCCTCCACGCCGCCAGGGAAATCGTACGGCGGTTCCACCCGATCGATGTGACCCACTCGGGAGCAGGGGATGATCTTGATGTTGCCGCCACACATCCAGACCTGCGTGGGATGAAATGGATAACCATACAGTGGACAATACTATGTTTGACCTATGTGTTATGGTACCGGTACGTGGGATCGAAATCCGATAGGGAACATAGTGATTGTGCCCTTGGGCAAGAGGCTTTACTACAATTGCCTCTCTCCATCCAGGAGTATAAATGGGTACCTGTGAGGGTAGAGACCAGATTGCGCTGATCTCGGCTGAACAAAAATGGTCTCATGGCCTGTTAAACAGGGGTAATAATTGTGAAGGGTTTTGAGACCTACCTTAGGTAAAAAATGCTGTATAAACACCACACATGATTGTTATTCAAAACTTTTGAAAAAGCTTTAAATACCGATACAGTTTTAAACAATTGTTAACAATACCCCCAATATTTGATTCAGAGCTTTAATGTTCCCATAGATCTGCATGAAAACCAAAGTCCTATCTTTTGATTATGGTTTGGTTTAGCAGGACTGACTGAAGTGGTTAGTGGATATGTACCAAAGGATCATGGGGCTTGTGTGTCCCTTAGCAAGATAAGTTACTGCAAATTCTTTGCAAAAATAGGTTACCAGTGAAAAGGCCATGTGATATATATTGCTGGTGGTTGGTTTTCAGCTTTATTTGCTTTGTACATACATTTGCCGAGCATCTCCTTAATATTGGGCCTAGTTTGGGACACAACTAAGATTGCACATTTGATCAATGAATTTGATCAGTAACCATGGCAACATTCACCATGGTAACTTACTCTGAGAGACAGCTCAAGGCTTTCTCCTCCCCATCCTTCCATCTGGGGATCCAGGGCCCCGATGCGTTCAAAATGGTTCCTGTCGACCCCAAAGATTCCCCTTCCCAACACCGGCGTTCTGTCAATGAAAACAAAAAAATGAAACAAATGAAATATTTTCAGGAAAAACAAACAAAAAAGAAAATAAGGGCCAATCTCCAAAGTACATTCACAGCTTTGCCATTTATAATTCAATCAGAGAAATTAAAAACAAAATTTTGCCCAAAATGTCTCTTCTCATTGCTTTCTCTGAAGGGCGCCCTCTATAGATATACACAAAGGGATCTAAAGTTCGGCGCCCACAGTGAATATCTTTTTCTTTGCAACATTTTCAACTCTATGCACTGATATTAATGAAAATCATTTGGAGTGAGAAGCAGTTGGTAAACAAATTTTCTTATTTTTTCGTAAGGCTAATATTTTAAGTAGGTAGGAAACTGGGTCTTTACTCTGAAATACCACATTTCCATCTTTTCAAGAGGAACTCCATAAACTTAGAAAACTTAATTAGGAACTCAGGAAGCTTTTTCGAGGGGCGGTAGAAAACCCTTCTAAACCATCACTTCCTTCTGCTGATCCATGACCATAACTTCTGGCTACTGGAGTATTTGGCTACTGCAGTCTTGCAATCCCTGGATTTTTCTTCAAGTTTGTAAAGCAAGTTTACAAAAAGCATGTATACAGGGTGAGTCAAAAAAAGCGGAACCCAAACCCCCGAAAATGTATTTCATATTTTAAAAAATGTGTAGCACCAAAAATAATAATGACTGGAAAGCCAATTTCAAAAGCTACTTTTATATGAAAAAAAAACTGCAATTGCTCAATCCGTTCAAAGAATATCACCATTTAAATGCAATGACCCTAAAACCTGTCTCGTCCAAAAAAGCTATTTATTGTGTGTTTTGACTGTTTGGAACAACAAAGAAAATGACACAGAATACTTGTATCAACAACAGTCACCAACTGTAGTACACACTATTTTGATTAACAACCCTGGTAAGGCAAACAATATGATTTATCAAATCTACTTTTTTAAAAGACGGGCCTTCAAAAGGATTTTGTTGCATATTGTTAACATTTAAACTAACATTTCATCGCTGGTGATGTTTGAAGACAATTGTAACGACGATTGTTGAAATCGCATTTTTTTGGACGAGACAGGTTTTAGGGTCCTTGTGTTTAAATGGTAATATTCTTGGAACAGATTGAGCAATTTCAGTAATTTTTTTATCTTAAAGTAGCTTATGAAATTGGCTTTCCAGTCATTATTATTTTTGGTGCTACATATTTTTTTAAATATGAAATATAATTTTGGGGGTTTGGGTTCCGCTTTTTTTTTACTCATCCTGTAGATATGAAGTACAGACGGTGCTCTTGCAAAAACAAGTTTAACCCTCCTGTTATCTTAACAGTCACAGACAGTAAATAAAATCAATCCTCTACCCGGCCATGCCTTTTACACAGGCTAGTCACCAACAGTCAGATCATATGTCAAGCAAGCACTGCGACTAGTCAAATTCCATCAACAGACAAAAGCAGGTGACTGGTAGGCACAGCTGGCTTAATATCAACCACCTTCAGTCAAAGCATAGCTGTATCATGTTACATAAACAGTCACAGCCAGTCAATATTGCTTTATGTAGGCAGCTGGGAGCTCTTAACTGTCAAAAAAAAGTCACTTGATTGATTTTGACTGAAAGGACAACTTATCACGGAATGTATGTTTGCAAAGAAAGGTATTGGGCCCGAGAAGGTTAACATTTTTGTAAATGGATTTCTGTTTTTTATTGAGCGGATCAGTTTGGCAAAGTGGTACTTTTCCTCGCCTTCCATCACTGTGGTTCGGATTCAAATCTGGCCAAGGCCGACATGTGGCTTGGGTTTTCAACCGCTGCCTGATTCCGTGGGTTTGTCCTGGAATATTCTTCTGGGGTTTTCCTCCCACCACTAAAACTGCAATATCCCTCCTCATCCATTAAAGGGAAAATACAACATTTGCAAACATCAAAAAAATAAAACTACCAAATCATTTTGAAATACCTTGCTGGACTGTTAGTGAATGACAGTGTAAAGCATCCTGTAAAATCATGGCACCTGGTATACTGTCATTTTCAAGAAAAATGGTATTTTTGTATCAATTTCCAACGCTGATCGGCCGATCAGCGTTGGAAAAAACTGGCTTTTTTTCAAATACTGGCCCCAATTTGACCATCGCACTTGTTTGCAATCGATTACAAACCTATGAACGGGTACGAGCCAGCTAGACTGGTTCCCTGACCTTACAATTCCCCAATGTATGTAAACTGCTCTGTTTCTTCTTATATGGAGTCAGGGAACCAGACTACAGGAAAATGATTGTTTTTCTTGGTTTTTATAGCATTTTCGAACCCAAAACCTCAAAAAAGTCAGTGTAACTATATTTGCTATATATTTCCAACCCCCCAATTCCATCCATTTCCGAAAATTACAGCAAAAGCAAATGATGTATATTCCCTTTATTAAAGGGACCCAACTGGAATTAGTCGGAAAAGACTTTTGTGGGCTATCCCTTCCAAGTGACGAATAATAATTAATTAATACATTTACTAGATCAGACCTCAGAGGTTCAACAGGACTCTCCCGTTCAGCTAGGTCAGCTCTTGACAACGGCGACTGCTTGATGCTGAGGTCCCACTTGAAGACGGAGCGTGAGATGCCCGATTTAGTGTACTCTAATGTCTCGTGGTCAATGACGTCAATGACGGGTGCCACCACTGTGGAACGGTCTCGGTTGATGGCGTCCAGGAGGGGCTCCAACCTGTGACAAACGGTGACCAAAAAAATGACGGGGATGACGGTGACAGTACAGCAGTGGCAAATTTGGCTATGACAGTTCAACAAATCTATAGGCTGCAATAACGATTTGGTGGAGGGGTTCAAATCTGAGAAAAACAATGACAAAAGTTGACAGTGACAGTATGACCATGGCATATATAGCTAGGAGGTAAGACAAAAGAGAAAAGCCAGTAACGATTCTTTGGTTGTTCAATTAATCTAGCGGTGTCCGTTGATTGCATCCAGTAGAGGTTGAAACCTGTGACAAACGATGACAGGGACAGGTGACAGTGACAGTGTGACCAATATTTCTGTGACAGTACGACAATGACGAATAGCCCTGCAACTGTTATTTGACAAATCAAACATTGTGTTGGACATTCAGTTAATTTTTTTGGTTTCACTAATTTTTTTTTTTATTGAGAATGAAGGCTTCCTTTCAGATGGTGTAAGAGCACCCCTTATCTATTCACCAATGATTTTGATGACGACAACATAAACATAAGGTCATATTTGTTGCAATTCAAAAATCTTTTTCTGTTTTCGCATTGCACAGGAGGAACTAAGATGCACAATAATCCCAAGGCATGACTAGTGACATTGGATTGGGCCCCAGCAAAGTATGACCCATTGCGTTGAGTGAGGCAATCGGACAACTGCCCTTAGGACACTTGTTTGACCATTGCACTGTGGTCCGATACTCGGCAGATTGCCAAATACTTCTGACACCCAACCATCAGCGAGCGATCAGTAGGCAGCTCAGGTCATTTGAGGTGAGCTGTTCTAAGCAGCGTGAAAAATCAACCGACAACATTGACACAAACCATCAATTCAGTTAGAGGAAACGACTCGTTTGCATCTGATTAGTCACGGTTCTCTGGGGTTTGACATTTCTACCATGTTTTGGCACGCTCGGTGAACTCGTGCGATCCCAATTTTAGGTAATTTTCCACCGAATTTCTCAGAAAGGTCAAACTTTTCAAGACTTTTTGGAGTGAACTGTGATATTTTGTTTTGAAAGATGAAGTTTGATTGATCATCTGTTTACAATCTCACATGATCTCTATACCCATGAGGGTATGTCCCGGCTCGTTTGGTATATTCCCATATCTTGGTTTTTCTGGAGATTGTACATGTAAATTTCTTTTTTACGAAGAAGAAGTAAAGATTTTGAGAGATGAACTTTCAGATTCTGTACATGATGATGCCAGCTTCACAGCCGAATTCAGAAACAGGCACTGTTTACACAGAGGGCTAGATGCATTTATGGAAAGTTACCAGGTTTGAGGAAAATGAGTTTTGGAAATTTTTTTCAGAGCATGTGGATACTGTTTCAGAGGACACTGTGGGGTGTGGAATATATGTTAAATAAAACTTTCCTAAATTGTAACAAATTCTCTTGGAAATGATGTTCAAAAAATGGGATTAAAAAAGTATTAACATGTAAAAGGGACTAAAATATATTCCCCGACCCACTTTTTCTTGCTTGATTATTCTCCAAATTGCCCTCAATAAAACTTGCTGGTTTTCTGGGTTTTTTTCCCTAGTGTCTTTGGGGTTTAATATCAAACCTCACTTTTGTCTCTTCAGTTTCAGGATACGATTTGAAGCCATTCGTGTCAAAATATACTTGAATAGGGCCTACTCAAACTTTTGTACATATATCCTGCAACAAGATTGTATGTTCTCAGGGAATGTGGAATTATGGTCACAGAGTCCCTAACATGGGGGGGGGGGGCTAAAATCTCCTGAAGTCTAAGCCAGCATGAAGACCAAACCCTAATAATATAAGCAGGAGTTAACAACACAAGTGGTTGTCCAAGAGTCCTTGTTGATTTGACAAGGTTGTCACTGCCCTGCTGTGTTTTTATGATCTGTCTGGGTACCCACTTGTGAGGTCACCTCATTAGACTCAATTATGTCCTGCTGTTGGGCTGCCAGCTGGGTGCATGTGAGGTGACCCAAGCACTCCTGGTCCTGCAACAGACCATGGAGCTATGCAGGGGCCAAGGAATTCCCTTCCAGCAGTACTCCACCATGTCATTTTCAGATGGATACTGGGCCCAAGTCCTACTGGGCCCCTCTAACCCTTGTTCCATTTTGTAAGTTGCCACAGATTTCTAAAAGTTAGTATCAACGTCCTGTGCTAACAGGACTACACAGCAATTCTTAACAGACCCTGTATGAAGTAGAGAATTGTATGAAGTCGAGAATTGTTGGTTACATTACAAGATATGGGTCTTATTCACGAGTCAGCCATATTGAATTGAAAGTTTAAGGTAAAATTTTTAATTCTGGAACTTGCGAAGAGAAATGAAAGCAAGTTAATTTATAATAAATTCCAGTCTGCTTCAATAAATAATTCAAAATTTGTAATTAAACATTCCCTAATGTTTAAAGCCATACTTTAAACAAAAATTAAAGTAAACTAAGGCTGCATTGTGCCTGCATAAATAGTGTGGCGCCATCCCATTCAACAGTTAACAATTAATGAAATACATTCAGGGAACTCGACAAAAATGGCCAACTCCTGAATAAGGCCCATACTTTGTAAGTACAGCCAGACCAACACAATTTATGACCCCTTAAAAAAATCACTGTGGCCAAACAGGAAAGTGTGATGCTGGCCATATTCAACCATTTGCTCCTGACGAAAGATGATTTGTTTTGACCTCGATTTCGAGGAGATTTAAGAGTTACGAGTAATTTGCAGCTGTTAGCTACTAGATTATAAACTTAGGGTTTATTAATTTTGAGTTTGATAGCTCACGTTATTCTTGTGCTGTTTTCATGGGATGTAAATTACATGTAGCTTTAAAAATGCAAGTACATGTATGTATTGGATCACTTCGCACTCAAGTCATGGGAAACTGCAAATTTTGGCCAATTAACCCTTGTAAAATCAGGATTGCAGAAAAAAACATGTACAACATGTACAAACAAACTCAATGTTGTCAGAGAATGAAGACAACAATATGCTTGTGGGCCTACAAGTACAACACTACACAACCACTCAAACCAAAACAACATAAAACTTTCTCCCAAAAAAGTAAACAAATCCTGGGGAAAAACATGTCCAGAAATCCCCATAACAGTAGCCCCATTCATTATCACTGGAGCGTGTACTCAACAGCACTCACAATGCACAATCCCTGTGTCTGATCCCCTGTTTAGCGAGGTGCGAACTCTTAGCACCCCTTGCACCCTATTGATAACCCCCATGTACTGGAGGTGTGAAAATTGAAGTGTCAATAGCCCCAGGGTTAGGGTGGTAATTAGATAGGAGGGGTGCATGGTAGGGGGGGGTTAGGGGTTGTTTTGGGGTGATGTTTGTTTGGGTCATGTCTGGGTACTTCAGCTGTGGTCAGACATCCTTGATTTAATTTGAAGGGTGTGTGATTTAATTAGGGAGAGACTGACAACAAGCATGTAAAGTGGGAAAAAGGAGGGGGGATTTTTAGATTTGTGTTGCAAATTTAGTAGATAAAGGGATATCACGCAAAGAGCTTAATTTGGATAAGCCCTTCAACAACAAAATTTCATACAATAAATAGATACAAAAACATTTCTCTCACAATACCAACATTTTTGTTTACATCTTTTTTTGTTTTGATAACATCATACAGTTTGGCAATGTCTTGAAAAAGAAATCTACAATGTCCCATCAGGGCCACCATAAATGAAGCAACCTTCAACATAATTTCAGAATTTAACTTTAAACAGATGAGCCTAAAATGTAGTTGCAAGTTTATTTTCTTTTTAAGATGGCAATGAAAGTCTTAAAACAAGGGCACCGACATAAAAAAATGATATAAACATCAGAATTCCAGCATACCATACCAGTGTGTGTTAACCTCGCAATGCGAATCAAGGAAGACCAGCACCTCTCCTAAGGCTTCCCTCGCCCCCTCCAGGCGGGCCTTGGCAACCCCTTCCCGTTTAGTGGTCTGCACCAGCTTCACCTTGCTGCGCACCCGGCGAGGGGTGGACTTGAGTTGTTCCACTATGTCTACTGGGGGTGAAGATTGAGATTCAAGAGGGGAGAGGGTTGGTATTTAATAGTCTTGAGTTAATTTGATGATTGATGAAGGCAGAGATGGCAGCAAGACGTTATGGAATGCCTCGTTAATTCCACCTGTCACAGCTGTATACACAGACTTGTGCTCCCTACAAGTTAGGAGAAAATGTCATAACCTTCAAGGTGACGGTTTCCCAGATGTATTGTGATTAATGCTTTGAGTACACTTTTTGGGTCCTACTTATTCATTTTCAATCAAATGTTCTTATTTTTTCGAATTTCTGGATAAGAAGTGTTCACTGTCGGCCATTCACATGCTTGAGTCAATGTGTGCAGTCTTAAAGGGAATATACAACATTTGCAAACATCGAAAAATAAAAGTACCAAGTTTTTGCGAAATACCTTAATAGGATGTTGGTAAATGACAGTCTAAAGCATCCTGTAAAATTATGGCACCTGGTATACTGTCATTTTCAAGAAAAGTGGTATTTTTGTATCAATTTCCAACGCTGATCGGCCGATCAGCGTTGGAAACAACTGGCTTTTTTTTCAAATACTGGACCCAATTGACCATTGCACTTGTTTGCAATCGATTACAAACCTATGAACGGGTACGAGCCAGCTAGACTGGTTCCCTGACCTTACAATTCCCCAATGTATGTAAACTGCTCTGTTTCTTCTTATATAGAGTCAGGGAACCAGACTACAGGAAAATGATCGTTTTTCTTGGTTTTTATAGCATTTTCGAACCCAAAACCTCCAAAAAGTCAGTGTAACTATATTTGCTATATATTTCTAACCCCCCAATTCCATCCATTTCTGAAAATTACAGCAAAAGCAAATGATGTATATTCCCTTTAACGTTCGTCTTTACGAAATGCATGCTGTTCTCCAACTTTGTCACAAATTATTTCTTCACCTTTGCAATAACAAGAAACAAGTACACTCTTTTACATCACATGAGTTCAACTTCTCTTCGCCATTTTAAAGGCAATTTGCTCATCTTACCATTGTCACTGAAGTCGTCCACTAAAATGATTTCTTTCAGCAGCGAGGGCGGGCTTCTGTTGAGCACGCTGTAGATGGTCCGTAGTAGGGCTGACCACACCTCGTTGTAAAATGCTATGATGACTGTGACCGATGGGAGTGCTGATAGGTGGTAGGCGACATCTTTACACCTGGGAACGGAGATGGAGGAAAAATGATGGTGCCCAATTATACAAACACATGTAAATGATATTAAGTTATTTGTTGAGGTTCAGTTGTTGGCTCAGTCAAGTCCTCGCGATGGACACAAGACCCTGCAAGACCCTGCAAGTCCATCACAAGTCCTCCACTCCCAATTCAACTCACACAAGCTGTTCAAATTGAGCTTTGACAAAGGCTTGCCTTTGCAAATGTTCAAGGGATCTTACTTGTGACTGACTGTGATTTGACTTGTGACGGACAGCGGTTTGACTTGTGATGGACTGCGATTTGACTTATGATGGACTGCAATTTGAATTATGATGGACTGCGATTTGACTAATGATTTGACTTGTGATGGACTGTGATTTGACTTGTGACGGACTGTGATTTTGCTTGTGATAGACTGCGATTTGACGTGACGGACTAGGATTTGACTTGTGACGGACTGAGATTTGACTTGTGACGGACTGTGATTTGGCTTGTGATGGTCTGCGATTTGACTTGTGATGGACTGTGATTTGACTTGTGATGAACTGAGATTTTACTTGTGATGGAGTGTGATTTGGCTTGTGATGGTCTGCGATTTGACTTGTGATGGACTGTGATTTGGCTTGTGATGAACAAGTTTATTTCAACTGTTTGGCCGCTGGAAAAGGCAGGGTCAACATAACGGTAGGAGCACAGAATTTAGAAAACCTTATGTTTAAATTTTCTTAAATTTCTAAAATAAATCCTGAAAAGTTCTCAAAATTAGGTCCTAAAGAATGTTGGTCTTTACATTATTTCATTCAATTTGGTAACTGATTTTTTTTTCACGTAAAATCAGCATACTATATTTTGGCATCACTGATCCTACATTTTTCTCACAGCTCAGTCTTGAAAATGAGTTTGACTGTCGTCACATTGTAGACCACTACATGCAGGCTTACCAGTTAATTCTGTGCCTCTAAACCCGGAAATTCAAAACAGAATATCACTGACAATGGGTACTAGAACTAATTTATAAAATATGGTGCATTAGGCCATGGGCTTGCAGCATTAGGCAACTTAAACCCTTGCCCTAATTTGCCTGCTTCCCTAGATCAAACCTTTTTATCGCTTTTGCCGACAAGAGGTTTTCATCACAGTTTTATTTTGGGCTTACTGTACCGGGTATCTGCTCTACACTTAGAACTCAAAATAACTTAAAGTCTAGAACGACAACAACACCGAGAAAAAAAAAAAAAGTCATTTCTAACATGTTTCTAACAAACAAGTAATGAACTCCGTTGTGCAAACAAACATGAGCCGGTTCCCTCGGGGTGAACCGAAACCCGAGTCCCCGCCATGAAGTAAAACTTCCCCAAATGTGGCGAGTCGATTGACCGGTATCCGGGGATAACAGCAGGCTTCCCTGATCCCACCTTCCGGCACTAAGGTCTATATACAGCCATAGCAAGCCCCTACAAATTGCTGACAAACACACGCTTTCAATGAGGGTTTGGAGCTGTTTTCGGCTAGGAAATGTCGGGCGCAGTCGCAATGTCACGTTCGCCACCCAGTGAGAAAAATAGCATTCTTGTACATGGACTAAGTAAAAGTTTTAATAAGGCATATTTTGGGTACATGTACTTTTTTTTTGGTTAGGAACATTTCTCCTCAAATGTACACTATTAACAATCAAATGGCACTTCACTCTTTCAATTCAATTCAGTTCACACAAAGCTTACAACCATAATTGCTAAGAGTTACAATACAATGTATGTTTATGTACAGAGAGTGGCAGATAACAAAAAAGGGACTTAAAATAAGGAACAAGAAGAGTTGAAGTTAAACAAACCCTTTTGTACTTAAAACTTTCAAGAACCCAAACTCAAAATTAACTGTGGCAGCCGGGGCTGAAGACATACCTTCCTAAAGTACAATCCTGCAAAATATTTGAAAACCTAATTTTTTTTAAGGTCTCCAATGTGTTCTACAATGTCATGATGTTATTTCTATGAGGGTGCTGTTACTATGATGTCGAGGCCAACTTTCTTTTCTTTTCATTTTTAATTCATAATTATTTTTTTTAATTCATGCATTTGCAATATACCGGGTATTTTGCAAAAAAAATATTGTCAATATAATTGTCTTTTAAATTGCTTCCAGTTGTAGAAAGGGTTACATCTCCTTACGACACTATTGGGTATCGGCAAAAGAGTCGAGAAAATTGAAGAATCCATCTGAACCTTGAAGCCCGGGGGGGGGGGGGGGGGGGAAGAAAAAAGTGCCTGCTTCCTTCATTGTGTCAAAATGCCTGGACGAGAAACTATTTTTTTTACTAAAAAGCATGCAATCACACAAAACTGCAAAACTGGGCCAGCAATGTTTCCCATGATGCCACCTGTCGTTGACTGTGGCTCGTAAAAAAAATCCCTTTTTATTTGGTACCAAGGTCAACATGTACAATTTTCTTATTCAGTCTGTAAACTGGGAAATCAAAAAGGAAAGGTGCCATGCGGTGAGGTTGGGCTCAAGACCCCATGCCGCGGTTGGTTGCGGGTACATTCTTCGGAATTTGCTTGTGTTGCAGAAAGAAAAAAAGTTTGGGAAAAGTGTGAAATGTGACGCTTGTTTTCACAACGGGGAATTCTTTCAGGACCACATTTATCAACAGCAGGGCGAAATTTCAGGAAAGTTGGTGGCGTGGAAAACAGATTGTTAAGAAACAATCTGAATATTTTTCCAGGAGTTACATTGTGTACATGTACGTTGCGGCATTCAAAAACATGTAGGCCTACATACCTTATGCCAAATTGGACATTCGAATGATCCCCCACTAATTTTCTAAACTTGTTCACAGTTCAAAATAAATATGCTGAATGCCTGAAATGAAATTACGTGAACCCTAATCTGAACAAAAGTCCAGGGTCCAATTGCAGGCAAAACTTCAATCTTTTTTTCAAACTTTAATTTCTTCTTTTTTGGGTGCTCCATTCAGCAAACTGATTTGGAAGTACTCTAGAGACTAGACTATTAAAATACCCTAACACAAGAAATAAATTTAGGTTTATTAGACAATGCAACTTTAAAGAACGTAAATTTCATTTTCTTAAAATTCAAGCTTTAATATAAATTTGTGTTTACTCCAGGCAACACGAATCTGAACTGGCAGCCAAATTTTACTCAAGACTACTCACTTGAAAAGATTGGATTTAAAAATTGACCTCTGATCGACAGCGAACTTCACCAAACGGAACATAAACAAAATGAATGCGCCCCTTTAATTAAATAGTATCACATTGGGTGTGTTGAACGAACGAGGAAACTATTAATTTTCCTTGTTTAGCTGTACCGGTACCTCCAACCAACGTATGTAAGTCAGCCGGGGTTGAGCAAGTCTGTTTACCGAGCAAAGGGTACCAGTCATAGCGAGCAGTTTGACCTATTGACCCTTGCTTTTGTTATTGCAGCACATGAATTGGGTTACATTCCGCTCATATCTAGGCTAATGCGCTGCAGTCACATTATTTTGGACGGCTCAAAATTGCAGGAGATTTAGGGGGGGGGGGGTTCGACATTCACAATACTTAACAGAACCACATTAATAAAACTGAGCTAGAGATGGGGTAGGGGTGGGAAGAGGGGGTGAGGTGAAAGTACCGGTATATCAGACACTAAAACTTCTTGTTCAAAATGAACCAGCAATATTAATTTTGAGCTAGAGTGCTAAATTTCTGCACTAATAGAGGGAATTTTACAATTTACATAAATTTTTGTAACTGACTAAGCAGGGCCCAATTTCACGCTTCTGCTTACCGTTAGCAAAAAAAATCGATGCTAACTGCTGGTATAGCAAACAATCGCCACTAACAATACCGGTAGTAGAAAATTCTACGCTTATGAAAATCTTAGCGTATTTCACGGATTAAAAAAAGTTGCTTATGCACATAATGTACATCCCATAAGTGAGAATTCTGTGCTTACAGGGTTAGCGCAGATTTTCTTGGCTAGCACTTTCAGTTCACAGAACGAGTCAAGAAAATAGGCAGCCTAATGAATGCCAATTATTCTAAGTACCTGGACTATAGACTATACGATGGAATAACAAGCCCGCAGCGACAAGAATAATTGAATTTGTTCTGACATTTCAATGGCCCAGCTGAACCACAGCCCGGGTGCGATATTCATAGAACCCAATTTCCACTCGCCGCTGATTGAGTTTCAACGAGGGGAAGTATTTTTAATCCAGATTAAATATTACCGACAGAAGGAGAGAGGGGGGGGGGGGAGAGAGGGGACTTGGGCGACAGGAAAGCATGACCTGGGTTTCACCTGAGGAATTTGAGACTGCGAAGGAATTTATCCCAGACAACCTTTTGACTGCTGGGCAATATGCAGAGGTTTCTGTAGACGTGCTTTTGTTATTTTCAGTTTTTTTGTTTTGGGTACTTTTTTTTTATAACAAAACTGGCACAAAAGATGTATTAAAGGGTATACATGTACATCATTTGCTTTTCTTGTAATTTTCAGAAATGGATGGAATTGGGGGGTTGGAAATATATAGCAAATATAGTTACACTGACTTTTTTGAGGTTTTGGGTTCGAAAATGCTATAAAAACCAAGAAAAACAATCATTTTCCTGTAGTCTGGTTATCTGACTCCATATAAGAAGAAACAGAGCAGTTTACATACATTGGGGAATTGTAAGGTCAGGGAACCAGTCTAGCTGGCTTGTACCCATTCATACCGTAGGTGTAATCGATTGCAAACAAGTGCGATGGTCAATTGGGGCCAGTATTTGAAAAAAAGCCAGTTTTTTCCAACGCTGGTCGGCCGACCAGCGTTGGAAATTGATACTAAAATACCACTTTTCTTGAAAATGACAGTATACCAGGTGCCATGATTTTACAGGATGCTTTACACTGTCATTCACTGACAGTCCAGCAAGGTATTTCAAAATGATTTGGTAGTTTTATTTTTTGATGTTTGCAAATGTTGTATTTTCCCTTTAAAAATGTATTGTGT